CAAAACACGAAAACGTAACGAAAAAGGCGAAAAACTCACCCTCCTTGGCATGTAGGAAAAGTGGTGGGAAAAAGGGAAAACCCTACGCAACATGTTCTATGTTCGGCGGGGAAAACAACCAGGGGAGTGAGCTGGGGGGGGAGACTGAATGAAACTGGAGCAGCAGCAGCAGCAGCAGCAGCAGCGGCACCAGCGAAGGGCAAACAGAGAGAAAGGCAAGCAAATTTGCAATTGCAGACAAAGGAAAGAAAAAGTTTTTGGGGATGGGTCATAGGCATAGGCCAATAGCCAATATCAAGAGCGCGACGCTGGGACAGCTAGAGGGGATTAAGATCGGGGTCGGGGCTCGGGATCGGGGCAACCAGTTGGTGCCAAGGGCGAAGCTGCTAAGGGAATGGACCTGGTTGTGGGCGCTCGCTTGTAACAATTGACAATGCGGCGTATGCGCGATGGATGCCCAGCTGATGATGATACAATGGAACACTGACACAGTGAACGAGTTTCCCACACACACAGACACATACACACACATATATACACTCTCGTAATTGCACCCGCACACTGAGAAACACTCGGAAAAACTTTCCTTTGAACAGGCTTTCGGCCCTGTCTGTGTGTATATTTCATGGATACACAATTTATGTTGGCCAATTTCTCGCCTCTGTTTGTATACAGAATTTCTTTGATTAATTACACACACACACTACACACACGTTGCTGACTTACCCTAGATTATGGCATTAATTTCTGGAATTACCAAACTTCAAAAACGTTTTTTCCTTAAATATTTAAATGAACTGCAAGATTTTCGTTTTTCTGTTTGTTTAACTTGAATTTGTTTATGCCAAAAATTTGCGCTCTAGGCTCTCCTCCGCATTGAGATATATAGACAAGACAGACTGGGATATATGGCTATCGCGTGAGATCCGATCCGAGAGTTTTGCGCGCCTCTTGCCAAACGGAATTGGGGAAGGCAGCCAAACGACAACGTCTCCGCTCGAGAGCCGAAAAGCGTATATACAACAAAATATTTCGAGCGGAGAGCACACAGTGCCAAATGAAAAGCCAACAACAAAAACACACACACACACAAACGAGACAGCAGGAAAACATACCAAATTTCCCGGGCTGGCGTTGCCACCGTACAGGTCCATGGCCAGGCTCTAGTTAAGCTTTATAACCCTCTCCTTGTTCCTAGTTTTCCCTCGTACTTTTATTCAGAATTTAATCGTGAAAACTTTGTACTGAAGCTACGAAAATGGTAGCAAATATTGTGTGAAATATATCTAATATATCTCCGAGTGTTGAGTGGAAAACACCAGCTGTCTGGCAACTTTTCACTCCGCTCCAAACGGGGAAAATTCTCAGCAGCTTTTCCTTTACGCGCGACATGCGCAGTGGTTGACGGAGAACGACCTACAGGTCGTATGAGCGCACAGGCAGACGCAACATTTTCGAGCGTGTGATAACACACATCCGACGAGGGCGCCCTCGTCCGGACTTTCCCTTTCCGGAGACTCCCGACTCCCGATTCCCGAGAGCGATGGCAGCGAGAGTGCGTGGGCCATTTAGGGAGGCCCAATTCCGTTTCGAATTCGTATTCGGATTTGGGCCCTACACAACGGAGCGCTGCATTGAGGGAGGTAGGAAATTTATGGCTGTTATCATCACTTGGCCAGGGCCAGGGCAGCGAGAGGCGGCCACAAATATCGGGCAACGCGAACTGCCGGAAACTAGGTCAAATCCCAACTAGCTGAGCGATTGGAATTTTGTTTGAGTTTTTTTTCGGGGGAATTTTATGGGGGAAAACAAGAAGAGAAATTTCTAATTGCTTTCACACGGCGGGTTATTGGATATTGAAGAAAATTAACGTTTAAACTATCACACTAATAGTTTAGTAAATATACTTTTAAAAAATGTGTATTAGAGAACTTAAATATTATTAAGAGATTTATTAATATTTTTTATGGCCCTTCAGTATGTAGATTTATTAATTATTAATTTTCGAATTGAAATTAACAAATTTTTATACCCTTGCAGGGTATTATAATTTCAGTCAGAAGTTTGCAACGCATTGAAGGAGTCATTTCCGACCCCATAAAGCATATATATTCTTGATCAGGATTAACAGGCGCATCTTTCTGGCCAAGTCCGGAAGAAAAAAAATGTTGATCAATTTTTTCAAAATTTTATAAGGGGTTACATCATAAAATTCTCAAAATTTGATAAAAGTTTCAATTTCTAACTAAGTATGCAGATTTGTAAACCTTATAAAAACTAAGATAACGCCGCTTTCCGAATGCAAATTAAGGCATTTTTGACAGAGTTATGCCTTTTTTAGTTTTTAAATTTCTGTTTTTCTCATTTCAATTACAGACTTTCCATCGTCATTGCCATCGCCATCGCTCCTAGTCATCAGTACCACCCACCCCGGACAAGAACCTAGGGAAAGGACCAACGACACACCCAAAAGGATGGTGGATAAGGGATGGGAATGGAGGAACAGGGATCAGGAATCAGGGATAAGGAGAGAGCACCGCCAGTCAGGTCTGCCGGCTACTTTTACAACAACAGCAACGAACACAACAAGCAACATTTTAATTTCAAAATACTTTATTTTATGTTATATTAATGAACCTAAATAAAAACAATGAAATACATTATTTAATATTATTTTGTTTTATTTTATTTTTTCTATATAAGAACAATGAAATGAGCATCTAGTGAGATGGCTATAATTTATAAAAAACCCTCATAAGTGTATTTTAATTATTTTCTTAGTTTTATTCCCGCTTTAAAAGGCGTTTTCATAATTATTCTTTTATTTTCCTGGTTCACATCAAAAAGTAAAAAAAAATTGATACTTTTAGGCATTTTTAAATATTATTTGGTCATTTTTGCGGCATCTTTTGGGCTGAATTTTTAAGTCTTTGATAAAAATATAAAGTAAGGTATACTTTTGGGCGGGGATGAATGCAGGTCCACGTATTTTTCTTGGCATCTTTTGCGCTAAATTTTTAAGTCTTTGATTAAAATATAAAGTAAGGCATACTTTTGGGCGGGGATGAATGCAACTCCACTTTTACAGTTTGACAAAATAGCTAGATGAGCATCACTGGCAGTTAGTGAGATGCCTATAATTTATAAAAAACCCTCATAACTCGGCCAAAAACGCATGAAATTCAATTTGGAAAGCTGTTCTGAGTTGCCTTTTCTAAGCTTAACAAAACTGCATACTAGGTTTTGAATTTCATGCATTTTTGGCCGAGTTGTGTTTTTCACATTTTTATATGTAAGTATTTTAGCAAAACTGAGTATGCAGTTTTGTTAAGCTTAGAAAGGGCAACTCAGACCAGCTTTCAGAATTCAATTTCATGCGTTTTTGGCCGAGTTATGAGGGTTTTTCTCATTTTTTGTTGATATTTTTTATAAATTATAGGTAAGTATTTTAGCAAAACTGAGTATGCAGTTTTGTTAAGCTTAGAAAGGGCAACTCAGAACAGTTTTCCGAATTGAATTTCATGCGTTTTTGGCCGAGTTATGAGCTATATAGCAAAATAGCTAGATGAGCATCACTGACAGTTAGTGAGATACCATTTTGTCTCATTAATGCAAAGTAGCTAGATGATCATCATTGGCAGTTAGTGAGATGCCATTTTCTCCCAATAATGCAAAATAGCTAGATGAGCATCACTGACAGCTAGTGACATGCAATTTTCTACCAATAATGCAAAGAAATAGCTAGATGAGCATCACTGATGCACATGAGCATCACTGCCATTAAGAAAGACTTTATTGCCCCCAATATTGAAATATAGCCTGATGAGCATCACTGATGGAAGTGAGCATCACTGATGGAAGTGAGCATCACTGATGGAAGTGAGCATCACTGATGGAAGTGAGCATCACTGATGGAAGTGAGCATCACTGATGGAAGTGAGCATCACTGATGGAAGTGAGCATCACTGATGGAAGTGAGCATCACTGATGGAAGTGAGCATCACTAATGGAAGTGAGCATCACTGATGGAAGTGAGCATCACTGATGGAAGTGAGCATCACTGATGGAAGTGAGCATCACTGATGGAAGTGAGCAAAACTTTTCATTCAAATTGGCCGCTTTCCAAACTGAGGTAACAGGCGAACAGAAACCAGCAGCAAGCAACTGAAAACTGGTATAAACTGTTATAAAAACTTTTGGGCAAAAATAATAATTGGTATAAACTTATATATTTTATTTTATGCATTTATACCTATTTGTTGCCGACAACAACAGCTTGATGGCAACAACAACCTTTTTACAACAACATCCCTACGACAGCCCATCCAAATTTCCGAACATTTCCATGCAAATTGCCCGTTTCCCAAACTGGGCTAACAGGCGAACAGAAATCAGCAGCAAGCAACTGAAAACTGGTATAAACTGTTATAAAAAGTCCAAGTTCCAAACCATTTAGGAGCCGGCGCAAGTTAGCGGAGACTCAAACCTTTTATATTTATACCTATTTGTTGCCGACAACAACAGCTTATGGCAACAGCAACCTTTTTACAACAACATCCCTACAGCAGCCCATCCAAATTTCCGAACATTTCCATGCAAATTGCACGTTTTCCAAACTGGGCTAACAGGCGAACAGAAATCAGCAGCAAGCAACTGAAAACTGGTATAAACTGTTATAAAAAGTCCAAGTTTCGAACCATTGATCTTGGAGTAAGCGAAGACTCAAACCAGATGTGACCATATTGTACATTTTTTGGCTAAAATGTTGCTTAAATGCACCTGGGCACACTGAAACTGACTTTGCATCAGTGATGCTCATCTATCTATTTCGTCCCAATAAAGAAATATAGCTAGATGAGCATCACTGCCATTAAGCCTGCCTTTTAATTGCAAAATTAAAACCTTTTCTTATGAAATAAATAAATACAATACCCCCCATCTTAAAAAAATAAAGTATAGTATTTCATTTTTTTTTTTTCTGAAAAAAAAGTAAGTCTAAAATTTTTATTGGTTTTTAGTGACTTTTTTCCATTTTGAATTTTTTCTTCAAGATACATCGGGGCGTGTAGCGCAGGTTCCGAGTGTGTGTGACGGTTGGGTATTGTTGTCTTGTCTAGGGGGATGATACGGCAAATTTGTTTACGCCTTGGGACTCCGGCTGGCCACAAACCGGACGTGGTTCGGCTGGTCGCAGCCGGACTCTCGGAGAGGTAAATGTAACAACAGGAGGATAATGTGTCCAAGTCATGGCTTCCTAACTTCCTAACTTCCGATCGGGGCGCTGGTCTGCTCCGATCCGTTTAGCCGCTTGATGGCTATCTTGGCCACGCCCTTGGTGCACTCCGCGGAGCCTCCCATAAGGACGAGGAAGAGGCCGTTGTTGGCCACCGTGTTCCACAGCCGGTCTATGATCCTGTCCAGCTTGGCTGCATTCCGTTCGGCGCTCTCCATTACAAAGTCCTGCTCGGGCACGCGCAGATTGGCAATGGTCAGGGCGTTCTCCAGGGCTATCTCGTTGACCTTGCGCACCGCCTCCTTGGGCGTGGCCACCTCGTGAATACGCACCGCCTTGCTATGATCCTTGGGCGAGGCCTCGTCCGCCCGCTGGATGACCTCCTTGAGACTCGGCTTCAGATCTCCCACCGTCACGATGGCCGTCCGCTTGTCCCGCTTGGCGACGTGGGCGAAGAGGTTATTGCTGATGGTGTCGCCACTGCAGGCGTTGGCCAGCTCCTGCAGGCGCTTCTGTTGCGTAAGGATCTCGTCGCCGAACTCTATGCTGTTGGCCAGCTTCATCTTGACGAGCTTCAAGGTGGCCCGCGAATCCTCGATGGAGTCATGGCCCTCATCGTTGTCCTGGATCGTCTCCTTGAGAAAGGTCTGGGCCAGGTGCTTCAGCTTGCTCTTGCGCCGCCGCACGCCGGAGATGTTGAAGCACACGCTGGTGTCGATCACATACGGATGCATCATCCGCATGGCGTTCAGATCCGAGTTGAGCGACTGGCCCACCAGGATGGCGTCCGGGGGCAGCAGCGCCGACACCTCTTTCTGCACTTCCTTCAGCCGCTTCGTCACCTGCTTCATGATGTCCTCCGTGATGCCCGAGTACTGGGTGAGGTAGTCGGAGATGCGGTTGTCGGGCATCACCAGCGTCTCGTACACCGTCTGGTACTGTTCGTCCACGATGGAGATGCGGGTCAGCTCGTTGATGCCCACCACCGTCCTGCACATCTCGCAGTCCACGCCAAACATGGGACTGCGGTTGGTCACCGGTTCGTACTTTTTCTTGGTGAACCTGAAGGTGCTGAAGCGAGTGTGCAGCTCCCCGGAGAGGGGGATCGGGTAGCCCTCGTCGACCATCTGCAAGGCGGAGAGCAGGAGCTTGGTGCGCGGAAACTTGTCATCCGGATGGAGGTCTGTGAGGGAGTCCTTCACCTTGGAGCCCTCGATGGGAAAGATGTTCTTGACGAACAGCGTGGGATCTTTGTTCAGCTCCACGGCCGACTCTAGGGAGCCGTGCTCGTCGATCAGCTGCTTGGCTTGGATATTGGTGAGGGGAATCTTGGGGAGAAACAGGATTAGAGATTAGATTAGAATCTTTCTATAAATAGAACTATAAAAGTCAATTACCTTTGCAATCTCGTCGATGATCTGACCCTCGTCCTGCGGCGGCAACAGCATCTCCAGCTTGGTGTTGAATATCCGATTGGTGGCCTCGAACTGGCTCTCGTTGGACAGGTAGTGGTACAGGGACAGGCCCTCCAGTATCACCACCACGCTGTGCGACAGGCTGAGCCACTTCTCGACGCTGCACCACCGATCCGGCCGGCAGGGGCTCTTCTGGCCGATGAGCGCCGACATCAGCAGGTGCTGGATGTCGGTGAGGAAGATGGGCGTGCGCGCATGCTGGGGCGTCTCCAGGGAGGCGCGCTGTCCCATCTCCCTCAGCCGCAGGCCCGGCACGTCCTCCAGCTGCCGCTTGCGACGACGCAGCTCCACGGCCAGTGTTTTGTACTGCTCCTGGCTGAGGATACAGATCTCCTCCGCCGGCAGGCTGTCGCCACCGGCCGCCATATCCTCGCGACTTCGCTTGGCCGTCGGCTCCTCAGGGTCTCCACTTTTGAGGGCCGCCGCCTCCTTTTCCACACTATTTCGGATTGTATGGCGATTGCGGTGCTTCCGCTTGCTGGAAACTGTGACAAATCCGTCGTCGTCGTCGTTCTTGCTCTGCTCCATCGGCGCGTTGGCCTCGTCCTTAGTCGCATCCGCGGCGTCACGTTTTTTGGCCATCTCGGCCTCGTGCAGGCGGTCGCGGTCGTTTAGCTCCATTATATTGGCCAGCGCCGCCAGCTTCTTCTTCTTCTTCTCGTTCCGCTCGTGCTGCTTGGCCGACAGCTGTTCCTTCATCCTCGTGCGCTTTCCGTGCAAGCTGCAGGCGAGAAAGGCAGAAAATCCAGGTGAATTCGTTCAAAACGGCAGGTAAACAAAAAAAACAAAAACGTGGTGTGTTGTAGAGGTGTGAGAACTTCGATAGGAAATCGATAAAGACGACAGTCAAAAATAGCTTCTTTTGTTTAGAATAGGTTGGCAGCACTGATGGTTGGGAACTCTGCTTAATAATCGATAAGTCGATAGTTGCACTTCCTATTTTTGTAGTATAGTTGTCTCGCTCTAAATTTAATTGGCCAATAGCGAAAGGGGAATGAAATTTTACTTACATTTGACATTCTACATGAGAATTCGACCCCAAAAATGAGAATTCGATCCCAAACGTAAAATGCCCATAGAAAATTTGACACCGTTGTTCTGTAAGCGTGTAAAACTTTGTTTTGACATTTTACCTTTACACGTACTCTTGCTTTATATTAATTAATATGAATACTAATTATAAACAGAAACTAAAAAATATTTAAAAAATTCAAGAATTTAAAGAAAATTAAAGTTGATTTTTTGAAATTAAATTAAATAGTTTTTCATTGCCGATTTTCCCGAAAAAAATAAGAAAAAGTTAAGCATTTAAAAAAAGGATATTTAAATTTAGAGTGCGTTAAGAATAACTAACAAATCTTTTTAATTTTTTTAACAAAAGCTTCAAACAATTTGTCACTTAAATTGGAAACCGTTTGTTTAGGGTTTTCTATTAAAACATATACAAATATATATTTTATACTTAAAATTAAAAAATAAAATTATTTTCTAAAAATAAGCTATTTTCCATTGAATTAGGATTTTTTAGCTGTTTATTTTGATCAGAAAAATACCGATTAGCGAGAGACTAAAATCTACTAAACCGTTAGTTTGCCGCGTGCTTTTGGAATTTTTTCGTGAATTGGCGCTCTTCCGAGAATTAATTGTTTTTAGCCAGAAATCAACGAAGATTAACGCATCCAAAATGTACACAGCCGTCAAGCCGCTGTCCAAGTATCTGCAGTTCAAGTCGGTGCACATCTACGATGCCATTTTCACGCTGCACTCGAAGTGCACCGTGGCCCTGCTCCTGGCGTGCACCTTCCTGCTCTCCTCGAAGCAGTACTTCGGCGATCCCATCCAGTGCATGAAGAACACGGACTTGGACTACTTCCAGGCCTACTGCTGGATCTACGGGGCCTACGTCCAGTCCAATATCACGAAGGCGCCGTCTCTAAATGGCGAGATTCAGTGCCACCCGGGTAAGTTTGGTGCAGGAAAGGGAGCTTTCCAGGTGAAATTACTGAGAAAATGCTTATTTCAGATGTGGTAGGCCGCTCGGTGGCACCGGGAAACCGTCGCTACATCCGCTACTATCAGTGGGTGGTGCTGGTCCTGCTGCTGGAGTCGTTCATCTTCTATTTGCCGGCTTTTCTCTGGAAGATTTGGGAGGGCGGCCGGCTGAAGCACTTGTGCGCCGACTTCCATCAGGCGGTGGTGTCCAAGGACAAGAGCAAGGCCCACTTGCGCGTGCTGGTCAACTATTTCACCAGCGACTACAAGGAGACGCACTTTCGCTACTTTGTGAGCTATGTGTTCTGCGAGATCCTCAATGTGCTGATCAGCGTGAGTAGCGTTTTCGCTTACTAGGAGATTAGGAATTAGTAGAGCTCCCCTTGTACTCCACACACAGATTGGCAACATCATGCTGTTGGACGTGTTTTTCGGCGGCTTCTGGTTCCGCTACATGGATGCCCTGGTGGCCTTGTATGACGGCGATTTGGACGAGTGGAACGACATCACCATGCGCGTCTTTCCCAAGTGTGCCAAGTGCGAGGTGCACAAGGTCGGCGACAGCGGCTCCGATAGCATCTACGACAATCTGTGCCTGCTGCCGCTCAACATTCTGAACGAGAAGATCTTTGCCTTCCTGTGGGTGTGGTTCATCCTGATGGCTGCCTTGGTGGCCCTCAAGTTCCTGTACCGCCTGGCCACCATTTTCTATGGGGGCATGCGCTTCCAGTTGATGCGTGCCCGGGCTCGCTTCATGCCCAAGTCGCACCTGCAGCTGGCCTTGCACAACTGCAGCTTTGGCGATTGGTTCGTCTTGATGCGAGTGAGCAACAACATTGGCCCGGAGATATTCCGCAAGCTGCTGGAGGAGCTCTACGAGGCGCAGGCCCGTTGCGAGAAAATGCCGCCCGGAGCGGACGATGTTTGAGAAGGATTCGTCTTATATTTAATCTCAAAGTTGTACATGAAGTAAGAAGTCCTTTAGTTTCTTTTTTCCCCACATGACTTTTCAAATTGAAGATTAAGTTGACAAGAAGACAGCTATTACTTTTTTTGATTCAACTCTCGTATTCATATTCATATTCATTATCTTATTATCCTTAATCTCTCATCGATATGTACTTATTATCGAGCAAATTGTTAACTAAACGAAACTTAAACTAAAGCTAAGCGAAATATATAGCACTTTCATTTGTTCAGCACTAAATAATTGATTAGTTTTATTATTTCAAGTTATGGATTTGGTTTTCTGTTTAGTTCCTTGAAATTTCTTAGGTTTTTTAAGGATTTTTCGTTTCTTGAAGTAGATTTCTTTGAGTTCTAGGATATTAAAACCCATCTCTTGTCTATATCCTGAGCTTCAACTAACAAATTATTAACACTTCCACATGTTCTAACTTTAATTTATGATAAAATTGAACCCTAACACCTGTTAATAATTTGCATGTGATGAATTTGGTTCATTTTGTTTAACGATTAAGAAATTATGAATACTAAACACGAAAACATACCTTTGCGACCTTGTAATGCTCCGCAGACCAAGTCTAGTCCACATCATATCTATTCTCCGGCTGCCAAATGACAAGGGATAGCCTAGGGGTTGGTTTCAGCTGGTTATTCCGGCTTAAACAGGGCATTCCCTTGTAGCCTCTCTTCCTTAGATCTTTTTATGTCCCGATGCTGCAAAATCCTGCAGATCGAAGCTGGAGTATGGGTCCTAGAACTTCCTTAGCTCGCGCATCAAATTTTGATGACCTTGTTCTGCGGAGAAAAGGCAAGGAAACCCAGTTAGATGCCGCCTTCCTCTGTCCGATTTCCCCTCACTCACATTGTGTCTGATGGTAAAATTTGGATACAAGATTATTTTTCCACTTTCCTGAGGGAATATGCATGTGTTTTTGCTTGGTTTTTGTGTCCGTTTGTGATTTTTTTGTGGTTTATATTTTGCCAGCAGTTGTCTCGTACAAGAAGCCCGAGCCCCTTTTTTCTCTGTGGACCTTTAAAACTGGGGAACTAAAAATGTAAATATTTTGGGCTGCGCTGTACGAAATTTGTATAAAAAGTGATTTTGGGAAACTGGCGAGTGTGTCGACCTACAACTCATTCTGGGCCTGCTTAGCCTCGACCCCAGGTGACATGCGGGTGGTTCGTTGCTCCACGACTGGAGCACATTTCCCCTTCAACTTGCACTTTTTCGACGGTCATTTTGAGCTGACCGCCGCACTTGTCGTACCGTTTTTCATTAACCAAAAAACTGTAAAGTTCAAAACGTAGCAGAAAACTGCACAGGTGGAAGTGTGTCGATCCACAGGTGATCCACTTTCCGGAAGCCTACATAAGCCCGGCGATCGGCCACCGCCGGCTTCAGTTGCCGTTTACCGGGCGGATCGCGCGGAAGTCTCCATCGTTGTCGTCGTGGTTCTTGTGGATATCATATTCGGTCTTTTTGTTTGAGTGTTTGAGTGAATTCTGGTAATCCGAGGCTCCTTGTTGGCCCGACGATTTAACAAAGTGCAAAACATATAAAAATATATAGTAAAACAACAAAAAAAGTGTGGAAAAAGTCAGTCTTCAGCAATTTTGGGGCATTAACCAAAAAGAGAGGAACAAATTGCAGTTTGAATTTACAAAAGAAAATGTTCCCAGCCTAAGAAAACCTGAGAAAGTGAAGAAAAAAATTGGAAAACAAAATGAATTACAACATGGATGGTATGTGGGGTTTAAGGGGAGAGTTTAAAGATCCTTAAAAAATAGTTTTATATGAAGAAACTTTTTCCTGAATTAAACATTTAATATTACATAAATATTAACTATCATAATCATCATAAAATCAATTAAAACTGTATATATAAAGACACTTTGCCACTTTATTATTTTAATAGGATTTTTGGATAATTTATTGTCATTGTATAAGAACTTTTCTTAATTGAACATTAAATATTATATAAATCTTCATTATCATAATCATCATGTATATATTTTATATTTCAAATAATTATTAAAATCATACTAAAATTCCTATTTTATAAAGTAAAGACTAGAGACCCTTTTTAGCTACTTTTCCATACTTTCTCCACCCACATCTTAACATATTTCTGCAGCTCAGAAAATTCCAATAAATCTTTTTTTGCCAGTTCCCATTTAGTTCGAATCAGAATCAGCATTTTTCGAGTCCCAAAAAAATTATTGCGAAATTGCTGAACAAGCTGAAGAAAGTTCTGAACCAAAATAAAGCCACAAAAAAAGCAAAAACTGTGTAGTTAACATACATTAAAAAGTAAAAGTACTTCAAGAAAAGAACATAAAAAACGTACAACTAATTAAATGTTTAATAGGGAAACTGTTGCAACAGAGTTTAGCGTCTTGAAGCTTTTCCTAAAGAAAATAATTCAATTTCCCAGAGCTGGAAGCCACCCGGTTGCTGCGGAACCCCCGTCGCTGGTGGAGCAGTGGACCCAGACGCATTGTGGCCATCTCAGTGCTGGTCATCATCACCCTGCTCTTCTCCCTGATCTATCATGGTCTTGTGGTGGAGAGAATGGATCGAGTCCAGCAGATAGCCGCCCTGAATGCCGAGCATCGGTTGATGGCCAATCAGCCCTTCGAGGAGGAGGACTCTCTTATCGTGAGTCCTCAGACACTGCACTTTAAGCTGCTGGACGATGAGATTAACAAGGATGCGCATAGGAAGCGCATGAAGAACCTGCTGGTCAAGTTCCGGTGGCAAAAGAAGCATCGCTCGGCTAGGGAGTTGCCTCGCTTGGATCTAGATCTCGATCCTGTGGCCATGGAGGCTAATATGCAGAGCCTCTACTCAAAGCTGAGAAGCAAGCGGGCTAGGGAAGTGCTCAGCCAGCTGGAGACCGAGTTTGTGCGCTGCAAGAAGCACACTCCGCACGACTGCATGTCCGCCTTCCTGCGCATGTACAAGATGGCCCGGGAGGTGGCCGAGAAAATGGAGAAGATGAAGGAGATTATGCGGGAGCAGCAGCCCATGATAGAGTCGGAGAGCGAGGATACCAGCGAACAATGGAGGGGTACCTTTGCTCCTGCGGATCTGACGCAGGATCAGGTGGTCACTGTGCCCACGCCAGCGGAAAATACCACTGAGAAGCCCCAAAGAGTGAAGATAAAACCGGCTAGAATCAGTTGGATTATCGATGGACACGATCATGATGGTAGTGAGGTATACACGGACGATGTGACAGCCAAAACGACGACCACTAAGGAGCCGGTTACAAACAGTACTAGGAAAGTAGTAAAAGAGGATACAGTCACCAAGGAAACGCCAATGGAAAGCTCCACAGAGCGGATTAGCTGGATTCTGGATCACTTTGACAAGCCCAAGGAGATAGTACGCACCACTGAGCGACCAGGACAGCGCAGCACACGAGATGTAACCACCACAGGGCCGGGTTACCAGCCAAATTCCATGGAAACTGAATCAACAGAGAGGAATAAGGAGCAGGCAAGCACCATCACCACAGAGGCACCTGGAATATTCACCACAGAAGGACCTCTATCAACCACCACAGAGGAAGCCATATCCGCCAGCACCCCACCCAAGCAGGAGAAGTTAAACATTGAATGGATTATAGATGGCAAGGAGGATGAAGCTCCCAACAAGACTAGGATTAGCACCTTGACGCCTGAAACCACCACCGAGGCCATCATTATCAGCACCACTGCAGGACAGCGGAAGCTGCAGTTTGACTGGATCATAGATGGAGATGAGGTGATAGAGCAGCAGGACAACGGCACCACTAGCACCACCACACTGACTATTAGCACCACGGAATCCCTTGAAACTAAACCAAACTCTACCACCAAGCCGCCGCCAGTTAAGATCAGCTGGATTATTGATGGCAATGAAGCCAGCTCTGAACTCAACAGCAGCAGCAGCAGTTCCACCATTCAACCCAGGGAGGCCACCCCACGGTCCGTGCATCCCCTGGACAATCCCACCAGCATTGAGAACATGCTGGAGAGCTTCGAGCGGCACGAGCAAGACAAACCCAAGCTCAAGGTGCTAAAGGCGAATGAATCCTCGCAGGAAGAGCACGACGATGTCTCCGAGCGGCAGTTGTGGCTAAAGAAATTCGAGGATGAGGCCAGGCCAAATCAGGATGAGCTGATAGACACCTTTGGAACGGCCCTAGATGCCAAGGCGATGGACCAAATGGGACCCAAAATTAATCCGCTCAACGGGCATGTCTGGAATGGTAACTACAAGGAATATATCGATGCCTCCTTTTATAATTAACTTTTATTTTCCCACTCCCCCAGCTGCCGATGCCCAGATCCTCAGCCTGTGCGAGCGCGTGGCCTTGAAGCTGCGTAACAAGGCAGCTGGTGAGACCAAGGAGAAGGGCGAAACCTTCACCGCCTCGCCCAGTGTACAGTTTACGAGTCGAGCTCCCGGCGGCTTTCCCGTTTCCGGGGAAACCATGAAGGCCTCGGCGCAGTTTATGTTTAATCCCAACTTTGGCATGATGCCCAGCATACCAGTGTGCTTCTACATGACGCCGGCCAACTTCCGGATGCCCATGTGGTCGGCCTCGCCCTCGTTTATGGGCATGCAGGGAGGAGGTCACTTTGGGGGAGCCGCCAACAACGGCGGAGGTATTTTCTTTGTGCCGCAGCAGTTTGGACCAAGTGGAAACTTCTTTGGTGGAAGCGGAGGCTCTGGAGCCGGTGGCCAGGGTGCCAATATCTTCTCGAAGAATGCCTCGCCGCAAAAGCTCTCCAATGGCCAGCAGCAGGTGTATTGCAGCTACATGCAGAACCAGCAGGGTCAATCGCAGAGCTCCTCCAACTCCCAGCAGCAGCAGCAGCAACCAGGAGGAAGTTCCGCTGGTTTCTCCAATGCCAACTTCAAGATGCGCCATGCCAATCAGTCGAGTTCGGGCCATCAGCAGATCATATACGCCAGTTATGCGGGGTTGCCGCAGCAAGCGCCCAGCCAGGACCTGGCCAGGTGTCCCGAACCAGGTCAGGTGGGCTGCTTTGGCCGGGAGAAGGAGTGCATTCCCGCTGAGAGATGGTGCGACAATGTGGTGGACTGTTCGGATGGCAGTGACGAGTCCGCCTGCACCTGCGCGGATCGGTTGGACGAGGAGCGTCTGTGCGATGGCTATGCGGATTGTCCCATGGGCGAGGACGAGCTGGGCTGCTTTGGCTGCGAGCCGTTGGCCTACTCCTGCTACGAGAACCTGGAGGAGTATGAGCAGCACAATCGTTCATTAATTTCCATGTGCTACAATCGCCAGGAGCGCTGTGATGGCTTCCTGAACTGCCTGAATGGCAGAGATGAAGAGCAGTGCAGCATGCTGGTCATAGATATAGCGGATCATATGGTTTGTCAGAAGTTTATCCATTTTATTCCTTTTTAATCCTTAAATCCACTGTAGTCCCATGCCGCCTCTGCCTCCGAGGGCTTTTTGTATCACAATCATCGCGGTGACTGGCATCCGGTGTGCAACAATGGTGAAAAGTGGGCAGCCGCCGCCTGCGAACTGGATGGATTGGATCCCTCGGCAGCTACGCTCAATGTGAGCTTCAGAGCCTTGACTCTGCCGGGTCCCTTTATAGAGCCTTCCCTGCATGCTGGCGTACTCTTTGCCCAGGCCTGTCACGGACGCAATGGCCATGACTCCCTGGTGGATCATGTGGCCTATGTCAAGTGTCCGCCCATGCAGTGTGGCGTGCCCAAGAACACCACCAAGACGAGGACACAGCACTCCAAGAGAGTGAAGAGAGCAACAGGAGATTCCCAAGAAATCCTGGGCGAAGGACGCATTGTGGGAGGCAGTTATTCTACTGCCCTCCAGTGGCCATTTGTGGTGGCCATTTATAGGGATGGCAAGTTCCACTGTGGCGGAACCATTTACTCGGAGCGATGGGTGGGTTTAAACCAGATTTTCCTAAAAGTTTACATCCTAATCCTTCCATTTTTCTCAACAGATCATCAGCGCTGCTCATTGCGTCATTAATTTTGGCAAATACTTTTACGAGGTGCGTGCGGGACTCTTGAGGCGTTCTAGTTACTCCCCGGCCACCCAAATCCAGCCCGTGTCCCATGTGGTGGTCCATCAGGCCTACGAGAGGAGGAGCATGCGCAACGATCTCTCCCTGCTGAGACTGGCCAGGCCGCTGCACTTTAATCGCTGGGTGAAGCCCATCTGCTTGCCGGACAAGGGAAGGACAACGCTGGGCGAGGATTGGATCTGGGGACCCGAGGAGCACACCCTGTGCACTGTGGTGGGATGGGGGGCCATCAGGGAGAAGGGTCCCAGCAGTAAGTAAAAGAATATAAATAATTTTTAATATTTTTAGTAATTTTTTTAATGTTTTTCCAGGTGATCCCCTCCGCCAGGTGGTGGTTCCCATACGCAAACGCTGCACAGATCCCGAGGATCAGGCTTCCGAGGACATTTGTGCTGGCGATCCCAGTGGAGGACGCGATGCCTGCCAGGGAGACTCTGGTGGTCCGCTCTTCTGTCGCAGCTTGGCCCGGCCGGAGGAACACTATCTCGCTGGCGTGGTGAGTCACGGCAACGGCTGTGCTCGTCCCAAGGAGTTTGGTGTCTATACGCGGGTGACTCTCTACCTGGACTGGCTGGAAATGGCCACCACACCGAGGCTGCTGCCCACACGCCAGCCCCTGCAAATGTGTCCTGGCTTTATATGCGTCTGGGGCGGCAAGCGTTGCATAGCCAAGCGGCAGAGATGTGACCGCAATGTGGATTGCCTGGGCGGAGAGGATGAGGTGGGTTGCAGCTACAACTTTATACCCGATATGGTGGGTGGAGTGCAACAGAATGTGAGCAGCACCACGGAGAGTGACTATCATCCGGAGAGTAAAATGCGTGAGGTTATACCCATTGAGGATGAGGATTTGGAGGCGGAACAGGATGAGGAGGAGCAGGAGGAGGAGGAGAGTACTACTTCTGACGATGAAAGGGAATTTTCTCTGCCTGAAGATGTTACTTCAACGACTGCTGGCATGGATTCATCTACAAATGAGTTAAATCTTGAACCAAGTACTCCAGATATTGATTCATCTACAAGGGAAACCACCATCATATCATCTTCTACTCTTGTTACCACAACAATGTCATCATTTACACTTCCCTCCACTACAATTGCTTCATCTACAAATTCTGGGGATGGTTTAGAAACCACTTTGACACCTCCTACACTCACAATACCCACTTCCACGGAGGATTTAAAAAAGCTTAGCGACTTGGTAACCCAGTTTATGGAGGAGAGCTCTACGGTTAATGATCTAGAAACAAGTACCTCAACCTTGGCCACCACAGAAACTGCCAGTGAAGCTACAACCAAGGAGGAGGATAAGGAAACTACAGACACAGAGACCACAACCACAGCAAGCAGCAGCAGCACGGCCAGCTTTACCACAAGTGGTATCACCACAACTACTATCACCACAACAGCAATAGTTTCAACTGAGGGGCCTGTAGCAACCACCACCACCTTGCCACCCACCTCAGCCACCACGAAATCTACATTTACCCACAAAGAACAAATGAAAATACCCAACAAGTTTGTGTGCAAAAAGTGAGTTCAATTAAGGGATGTTCCTTAATTATTTAAAATTGATTTCTTCCCTTATAAAAATTCTCTATAGAATGCCTCAAAATATAGATATTTTCTTCTTCATTAAAATTTAATTCTTCCATTATAAAAATCCTCTATAGAATGCCTCAAATAGTGGACATTCAGATGCGCTGTGATCGCAAGGCGGACTGTGAAGATGGAACCGATGAGCTGGACTGTTCCTGCAAAGACTATTTGAGCGGCAGTCTCAAGAGTCTTATATGCGATGGCAAAGAGGATTGCGAGGATCATACAGATGAGCAGGATTGCGGTAAGGATTATGAAACTACATTTTTATAGGTTATTATTAAAGAACATAATATTATTGATAATTACAGGTGGTTGCCAGGCCAACGAGTTCCGCTGCCCTTTGTCTAAGACCTGTCTGCCTTTGAGCAAGCGATGCGACAATCAAGTGGATTGCAGGTTCAAGGAGGATGAAAAGGATTGCTGTGAGTATGAAACAAATATATTTACTTAGAAGCAGAGGCAAAAGTTCATAGAATATTGAAGCTTTTAAGCATCAAAATAATATATAAAATCCCACCCTCTAGTTGCCCTCACCAATGGCCACGATGTGCACTTTGATGTCCATCAGCAGCCCAAGTTCAGCAGTGCTGGCATCTTCTCCCGCAATGGGCATGGCGTGTGGCGTGTGGTCTGTGCCCACGAGACGGGCTATCATGAACACCAAGCCCATACAGCAGATGCAGTGTGTGCACTCCTGGGCTTTAAAGGAGCCCACTATTTCAACAGTTCCGCCTTTGTGAACCAACAGGAGATGCACCCCATAACACCCGAGTTGAAGAACAGCCGGAACTTTGCTCAGCTTCGTTCCATGGTGGCAGACAACATACAGATGACAGAGAACGAAATCATCATACCAGAGCTGGGTCATCCCTCCGCCTCGAGGCCCGAGAAGGATCGTCTGCTGCCCAACAAGTGCCTGGGCATCTACGTGGAGTGCAATCCCCTGGCAAACAAGACCACGCCCCTGAAGACCCTCAGTGCTGGGCAGGCTATCATTCCGAAGCCCAAGGAGCAGGTTCCTCTGCTGCTGCCCACCATTGAGACGCACAGCCGACCGAATGTGCACTTTAAGCCGCAGATACCCCCGGTTGTTGTAAAAAAGAAGGATGAGATCCTAGATCGACTGGAGACCCTCATCAAGAGCAAGAAGAACACGACGCTGCTGGTGAACGAACAGCTGCACGAGGCCATCGAGGAGCTGCACTGGCCCTGGCTGGCGGATGTCTACCTAAACAGCGAGCTCTGGTGCATTGGTGTGCTCATCGACAAGCACTGGCTGCTGGTCCACGAGAGCTGCCTGGCGGGTATAAGCCTGGACACGGACTACATGAGCGCCTTGCTGGGCGGCGGCAAGACCAAGAGGTCCCTCCACAAGAGCAATCACGAGCAGATACGGCGAGTGGACTGCTTCGAACCGGTTCCCAAGTCAAATGTGCTGCTCCTCCATCTGGAGCAGGCAGTGCGCTTCACCCACCATGTGCTGCCCACCTTTTTGCCGGACAGGTGAGAGGAAATTGATTGCTTGAAAGAGAAATCTGTGTTAACATACATTCCCCTCTAGCACTCATCACGACCACAGCGCCCCGAGGGACTGCATCAGTGTGCTGCACGACGATCTCACTGGTCGCATCAAAACGGTGGCCATTGTGCGAGCCTCTAACGATGCCAGCTGCGAGTCCTGCTACAAATTGCAGGAGAAGCAGCCGCCGGTGAATTTGATGCGCCTGCTGAATGTGAGTGCCGAGGACATGGCCTCCATTTCGGAGGAGGTGGAGCTCATTAACGCCGTGGCCCCCACCGAGCTGCCGGCCATAACCAAGTTCACCAGCTGCCAACAGTTTGGTTTGAAGAATGTCAGCGATTCGCACATCAATCCCAGCGACCAGGGCGTGTTGGTCTGTCGGGATGCGCACTCGGGCTGGTTCCCCACGGCCCTGTTTAGCTACAACAACACGGATTGCCAAAGTTTCAAGCAGCCATTCGGCATTCGGACTTTGGAAATGGCCTACAAATCATTGCAGGACATTATAGGTGGGTTTTGGGTTGAGTCCTGGTTTCCTGTTTCCAGTTTTCAATTTCAAATTTCGATTTTTCAGAAAAACCTAACTGCCAGAACCCCAGGTCCGCTCCTCACTGCCCCACCCATCGTTGCCCCTTGGGCCTGTGCCTGCCCCAGGAGGCCATCTGTAATGAGCGTCCGGATTGCCATGATGGCAGCGACGAGGTGGAAACCAAGTGCCGCCAGCTAAAGCAGCGCTGTGCTCCTGGCGAAATGAAGTGCCGCTCTAGCTTCAAGTGCTTGCCGAAAAACAAGTTTTGTGATCACATTCCCGACTGCGAGGACATGACGGATGAGCCTACGATTTGCAGTTGCTTCACCTATTTGCAGTGAGTTTGAGTTTAAGATTACTTAGGTGTCGAACTACGGTTTTTTGGTTCCTTTTAAGGTTCAAAAACTTCAATTTTCAACTTTATTTTTACTAAACAATTTTTAGGACGTCTTAAAGAACGGTTTTCCCCTTAAAAACTGTTTTCAAAATTTAGAAAAAATTATTATTAGTCTCCAAAATATCTCTTTTTGAATTTAAAACCATATTTTCTTATACAAAATTCTTAATTTCAGAGCCACTGATCCCTCGAAAATATGCGATGGCAAGCGGAACTGTTGGGACAAGAGCGATGAGAGTTCGGTGCTGTGCAATTGCACGGCAGATCACTTCCAATGCAGTTCGTAAGTAGAGATTTGTTAGTTATTACGCTGATATTTCCTTAATTTCTATTATTTTTAATCCTACTTTTTACTTAATTGTCATCGTTTTACCCTTTTTAGCTCTCCTGCTGACTGCATTCCCCGTGATTTTGTCTGCGACAAGGAAAACGACTGTCCCAATGGGGAAGACGAGCGTTATTGCTTTGGCATTGAGCATCCTTTGCAGCAGCAAAAGAAGGATTTCTGGGCCAACAGTCAGCACACGTAAGTGAAACACAAACCTCAAAAAAGATTCTAGTAAATAAACTAAAAGCTCTTTTCACAGGCAACCCGAGAAAGCCCCGCAGTATGGCCAGGTCATTGAACAGACCTATGGCATTTGGCACACGAAATGCTTTCCCAAAAGCAAACCCCCGCATTTGGACGAAGTGCGTGAGATATGCAGAAAGCTGGGCTACAATCCCTACAGGCAGCCCAGCTATCGGCTGATTGACGATGCCGAGAACAAGGCTGTGCACACCTACGAGACGGCAGATAGGCGGGGACGCAGCTTCAGCAACGAGACTTTGGTGGGGAAGTACCGGGAGGCCACCAAGGCTCGGATTGTTAGTAAATTCTCGCCGCTGCAGCTTAACGAGCGGCTGACGCTCTTCCTCAAGTCGAGTCGACCCATTGCCGAGCTGGTGCGTTGGAATGCCACCGATTCCAGCCTGTGCTACCGGCTGGAGATTCGATGTGCCTAGGACTCTTCTCTCTCGTTCCCATGGAGCTTTGTGCGTTTTAGTAGCAAAAATAAATGAATGCGAGAGCCGTTTAATTATTAACTTGGTTTTATTTTAATTTCGTAATCAGTTTATGTTGCATATTCTTTGTTAAGCTTGGGACTTTTGGGTATTTCTTTTGTAATTTTAGTTTAACAAACGAATTTATCTTTGGGTTTTGGTTTTATAAATGTAAAAAATCGCTTTTGTTTTGTTTTTAGTTTGTTGTTTTTTTTGTTATCTCAAAAGCCAAACAATGTAATTAATTAAAGCACTTAATCAAGTGTTGTTGGGGTTTTTGTTTTTGTTTTAAATTCGTTAAAAAGACGTAGGTTATCGTATGTTATAATTAGGTTTAAGTTTATGAAAGAAGGTACTTGAGAATTATAAGTTTATGCGCACTCCTGGAGAGCGAATGTAAACAACGTTTTTATTTTTGGAAATTAGTTAAACTCTCGTTGGTAATATTACAATAATAATAATAATAATAATATACGTGTATAAATAGTTAGGGGAATGTATATAAGAGTAACTAGTTAAATGTATTCATAAGTCTTTGGCGCTGATTAGGATTTAGTTTGTGGTTTTAGGAGGTAATTAATGTATATAATTCATTAGATAAACGCAAACATTAGTTGGGAGGCGAAAATACTTTCAAAGTTATTTTAGTTTGATTAATGTCGAGATCTCTTCTTTGTACAATAAATCATTTTCATTTTCATTTCATAATTTTCAATTGAATCACAAATTGTCGTTAAAGTATATATTTTTAAGTTTATATATGCATAGGTCAATGCTTAGGCTAGAGTTAATCATTCCGAATGGCGATTGGTTAGTTAGTTAGTTCAAAGATAAAATAAACTTAAAGATGGATAACGCCACTAACACAGAAGTTCTATCCTCGTTACCCATCTTGTAGCTTATATTATCCTTGTTTAGTTGGTGTAAGTGCTTTCTATATATGAATCATGTGTGTGTGTGTGTATTTAGTAGTGGGCGCATTGAAAAGCGATGCTTGTAGAGAGTAGAATGGTTTCTAGGGATTGGGTTCATAGCTCAGGCAAACAGTTCTCAACACAACCTTTGGCAATACTAAGTTTAAGAGTAAATAGGTTCGTAGAGTTCGTAGAGTTCATAGAATTTCGAGTAGACTTGGGGTGAAAAAGCGTAGTTCTAAACTAGTGTTAATTTTTAGCTTAATTCATTAAGCAAATAAATCTCGTTTACGTTGTCATGAAACACAGCAGCTTATAATATTATTATTTACATACCTACGTACCTACTAAATTATGCCTACGATTTCGTTAAATGTACTAACTACGCGACGTCTCCGTCTCCATGATTCCGCCTTTCGTTTCGCTAAAATCTTAATGGAATAGTTGGTGCGTTTTTATTTACAAATTGATTCGTTCTAGATTGGTTTCTCATAGTATGTTGTGTATATTTTAAAGCTTATGGAGAGTTAGTTAGTAGATTTCACTGGATGAGAGTGTTCAGAGTCTCTGAAAGTTTGTTTATAGCTATCGTTGTAAAACTGGTTTTCTATTTTATTTATATAATGATGGTGAACTTGTGGCTGCTAGCAAACCTATAATGAATCTAATATCCTTCTTTTTTGTATATTTTTCCTATAGGTGCTGCCGCCTAAAAGCCTTTTAGTGGTTTTTGGTAACAACATTTACATGAAGTTCATATCCATTTGGGCCAAAAAGTATGCTTTACACTCTACTGGTGACCACTAAAGGTAAGCTTAGCCCCTATTATTTATGCTTTTTATACCCTTGCAGGTTAATTATAATTTAAGTCAGAAGCTTGCAACTTGGTGAAGGAGTCGTTTCCGACCCTATAAATCATATATATTCTTGATCAGCATGAACAGGCGAATCAATCTAGCCATATTCTGAGAATTTTTTTTTTTATAATCTTTCAAAAATTTTACAAGGGGTTTTCAAAAATTACTCAAAAATTTGAAAATTTTTAAATTTTAAATTTAGTATGCAGATTTTTTAATCCAAGAAAAACTAACATAAAAAAGCTTTCCGCATCGAAATTAATGAATTTTTGGCTTAGTTATGATCGATCAAATTATAAAACTGCAAGGGTATTTAAGCTTCGGCTTCCCGAAGTCAGCTTTTTTCTATTTAAAACTTAAATTAAATAAAAAACTGTGGTAAAAATAATAGTCAATAAATAAATCATATATATTTTGCTAAAGACTTTGCACACACAATAATATTTAGCCTTGGGCCTTAAACAAATCTCTCACTTGCAATAAATAACTAAAAATTAAACATAAAATATATATATTGTTAGATCAGCTTTCACAAACTGCAGGCGTCAGACGAACCTTTGTGCGTTTCAGTTTTCCTTTCTTGTGTCAAACTTTGGCTTAGACTAATTAATTGTAAACATAAACAACTAAAACATTTTAGTAAACATAAAGAGAGTAGAACTCGGGATGAGTTTACACAACATGTGATGCGTACACAAAAAATCATTTCAAATATTACGATTCCGTCTCGATCCCTTGGATCACCTGAACTTCTTTATCTAAAAGGGGACTTTTATTTGTTGTTATCTAACGCTTGAGAGGGGGAGTTAAAAATAGTGTTTCTTGAGTTTCATATCGATTTCCCACACACACGGTTTCCTCTAAAAGTCCTTAAGTCGATTTCCGCTGATCCCTGTTCTCCTCAATTTGGGTGGGTGGCGTGTTCTCCTGGGTGCGCACCAGATGCGATGGCAGTTGCATGTTCAGAGGATCATGGATCCTCCTCAGATTGTACTCCAACTCGGCTGATTTTCGCTTCAGCTCGTTGTAGTGATCCACATCGAACTGCAACTTCTTGGCGTTCCTGTAGAGGGTGAGGGAGTACTCCCGGTTCTTAACGTGCTCCATAATGTACTCCTGCAGGGAATAATATTATATTATTATATTATTAATTAGTTTTTAGCGTAGGAATCTCTAAACTTTCCTTCTTGGTTACGCAATAGTAGGCATACATTGCCATTGTCGTTCCATAGGTAACAAAATAGGTGACCGGCTCCATGATATCCCAAGAGTATTCCCACCAGGTGAGGCGCGCCAAGATGCCAAATTGCACAGACATCAGGCCCAAGCCCATCCAGGTCATAAAATTGGTACGACGAGCTGCCTTTTTGCTCAGTTCTAGTTTTTGCTAAAAGATTTAAGGAAATTCTAATTACATTTTGGGGTTTTAAATAAGAAAATTCTATTTAAAATAATATTTCAATATTAAGCAACAATTTTACTATTTTAATTTATTAAAATTATAAACAAACTCACCTCCTCCAAGGGCTCTAGTTCATAGCGTAAACTTTCTAGTTCCTTGGCCAGTTGATTGCTCTTTTCCAGCTGATATTCACCCACATTGAATGCCTCATATAGCTGGATTTTATAAAGATTTTTATGAATTATAATTTAAATTTTAATAACATAAAGAAATACCTCTCACCTGAGCTATAACTTTCCGCACATCACCGACTTTGTCCATGGATTCCCCAGTGATCTTGTCCCGTTTCGGAGGATTCACTTCCAGTGTGCGATTGTTGATTTGTATGCTAAGTTTTTGTTATAAAGTTTATATAGTTACTATAGTCATAGTTAGAATCCTTATAATTACTCACCAAAAGGAGTCATCTAGCAGGCTGTCGATAGTACAGGAAGAGGCGATACGCACTCCATGCTTGTTGATGATCGCAGCTCGATCGATGCCGCGATCCTCAGCCTTGAGCATGGTTAACAGATCGCCCACGTTGTGCGTAATGGGTTTCAGGGCAAACTGGCAGAGTTCATTGCGACTGGGCAGGCGAACAGTCATGTGCGGCATACCATTTACATACTCCACATAGATGTCTTCTGAGAAGAAAGATGGAAAATATAACATTTTAGATAGTAGAAAGAGGAATTTATTAATTAAATAGCAAATTCTGGTAGTCCTTCCTTGTTGCTTTAAAATAAATAAATTGACTGAGAAAAACCTTTGGGAAAAGAAGCCTTTCGAGTTCTTAGGAACCCAGTAGAACTTTGGTAAAGATGGTAAAAGAATTCTGTACTCTAATTGGGAAGTTTTCGACAATCGCACGTCTTAGTTACAAGTACCCTGATCGACCCCGCATAAAAGATAAAAAAGCCTATCGTAGGTACCAATTCTGCAAGAAACATATACCCTTTTCAGGACCAAATCTCCTCCTTAAAAGCTCTCCTATTTGCTTTCCTCAAAGGAGAACTCTTCTGGCTTCCCCAAAAGCCTAAGTTTCTCTGGTTGGATGTGTGCCATTCTGGGCTTGGTTTTTCCTCTGTTTGCAATTAACCAAGAGAGCCACTCAAGGTTACTCGCCAGCCTGGCTCAATTCGAATGCAGTTAGGCGTTCGAATTGCTTGCTGAGGCATGACTTTTTTCAATATTCCCCCCTCTCTCTGAGTCTCTGTGTCGGTGGTAAGGTGCAAGAAATAACAACGGCATCAAGTCTGCTATAAGATGACACACTGCCGCCGATGGCAGTTTGACAAACAATTCAATTAACAGCAATTGAAACGCAGCATTCCAGGCGAAGCATCGTGAAGATATGATAGTCATCGTGGGCAACGAAAAGTTTTCACTTTGTCGCATGTGGGGATCTATGCAGCCATGAAGTAGCACAAACATATATTTATCTGTATCGCTGCCACTCATGCAAGCAGCCACCGAATGCAACCACACGCCAATGCAGCGACGCCACCACCACCACCAGCCCACCGTTGCACCGTCGCACTTCTAATGAAGATTTTCTTCTGCCCAAGAGGTAGGTGTGTGTGTGTGTATACACAGGAAGAAAAGTCTGACATGTGAAGGTTATATAAAAAGAGTTTTTAGACATTTTTAGGAAGTTGTTTATAACTTTTATAAGCTCTTTAATAATATAAAAATTCAAATACAATTAAAATCGGTATAAAAACTCATTCTATTGACTAGATTTACCTTCAATTACTAAAGATTTCCTTTAGTTTTTCTTAGTGTATTACTTTAAATCGCCTTTACCAACTGGGCCTGAATGCTGCCGAGTGTTGGCTGGGTCTGTTCAACCCATTAGCAATCGGAGTCGGCGCCAAAAGTGGGTAACTAGTGTTGTTACTGTTACAACTTGGCTAACTAACATTAAGCCGCCGCTCATTGCTCGCTGGCTCTGGCTCTGGCTTTGGCTTTGGCTTCGACTTCTTCTTCTATGATGATTATTTTCATGGACTTTGATTTTTTGGGATTTTAAACATTTTATGTTTTCTTTTTCTGCTGCTGCTTCGCCTTCTTCTGCTTCTGCTTGTGCTTTTTTTTTTATTGATAGTTTGAGATTTTTGTTTTAATTTTCAGTTAACTTTCAGATTTTCGCGCTAGCAGACGTGTGTGTTGTGTGTTTGCCCATCGTCGGATAATTGTGTGTACGTGGCAATCTATACTGGCCTTTGAAATAACTAATAAACTCATTAAAGCCGCGTTATTGTGTGCAAAAATAAAGATACATCAAGTGTCGTGGCAACAAAGCAAACAACCAAAAAAACTTGGATTTATTGGAAGCAAGTTGCTGACAAGAGGGACAGACATTTCTCCACTGTGATGTCCTGGGGAAAAAGTTTAATTTACAAACTATGATGACACTGCCACAGCAAAATCAAATAAAGTTTTGCGGTGATGTCGGTGCTTTTTTGTGTGTGTGCAAAAAACTAGAGAACAACCTGTCCAGGCCTCTGTCATATATGTATGTTTATTATATAGAGCCACAAGTTCTGAGAAGAGCAGAAACAGCGAACGTGCCAACATTGATAATTCCATGTCAGATGCTCGCCCACGGCAACGCTTTGATAGGCCGCAGGAGCAGGAGCAGAAGCAGCAGCAACTTTGCTTCATCAAAACTTAATAGCCAGTTTCCGCATCCCTGCCAAAACAAGGCTAACAAGTGTCAGGGAAAACCCAATGCGGTGGCTATGAATGTGTGTATGAGTGGGAACACGTGGTTGGCAAACAAAATGAGGGCACAACCTCAACCTCAACGCGAGGAGGAGAGGTGACGACCGCCGCTTCCGTCGCCGGAAATGCAAGCGGCAATCAGCCCACAAATTTATAACGCTTCTCGAGTCCTTTGGGGGGTTTTTTTGAGTGAGAATGTGTTGCTGGAAATATTGAAACACTATCAAATCAGTCTAAAAATATATTCCACAGGAGCGTATTTTTAATACTTGAACCCAGAGGCGTGTTTTTAAATCAATATTCTTGGAATTTAGGCGTCTTAAAAAAGATTAACTTTACCCTGAAAGTAAAGTATTTGATGTAATATTTTAGGGAAAAATAAAGGAGATGGAAAATAGAGTAGAATTTTAATAATTCAATCAATTGAATCAATTTATTTCTTAATTAAAGAAATTAAGCTTGGAATTTTGTGATAATTAAGGCAGTTAAATTATAAACCGATTAATGAATGATTTGTATTAGCAGTTATAATTAAATTTTCTCAACTGTATAACAAATCAAGCTAAAATCTAAGTCATTCCAATCCACATTTAAACCAATTTTCAAGCCTAGCAGTTTAAGGAAAATGAGGGAAATGCATATCAGAATTCTCGGAATAAATCAAAGCTTTTAAGTTCCATTTCCTTGATAAGGCTCTTGCTGCTTCTTAAATTATATATATTTTTTCTAGTTCACTTGGCAATCTCCGAGAAAATGTCCTGACAAATGTATAGCCGACTTTCCGGCTGCCTTGATTTCCACGTGTGTGTTAAGAGTGTGTGCCTGTGTGTGTGTTTGTAAGAAAAAATCTTGCAGGCTGTATGCCTGTGCATGAGCATTGCATGATTACATGGAGGAGGTCCTGTGCCTGCTCCACTCACCGTCACAGCCACAACTGCCGCACTTTACCCTCCTCTCCTTGCAATGCCACAGCAGAAATTGTCCTTTGTGCATTATTAAAAATTCCGGCAACCGCCTCGTGTTTGCATATTTTTTGTGATTTAATTTTTTTTTTTTCGTTCAACAAGATTCGCGTGCCAGGTTTATTTTTTTCACTTTCCCCCCTTTGCCAGCCGCCTGCGTGTGCCCCTGCATTTAAATCAAATTATTAAACCGCACAGCCAGGGCGAGCTTGTGACAGTATATTATATAAACTACATGCATAAAATATTCAACAGAAAGCATACGCTTTAATTGAACGATAAAAAAGTAAGAGGGAGGAGGAGGAGGAAACACGCCCATTTGGAAGGACACAGGAAGCGCACACCAACGAGCGATTAGCGGGTGAGTTCGGGGGGTGGCGGGGTGGCATTAGGGCTGGCAATGGCAATGACAAAGCGAAGACTACAAAGTTTACCGGGCTTTGGGGTTTGTTTATTTATTTATTTTTTTTTGTAGGTATTTTTATCAACACTAGTTTACAAATACAAATACCTTGAGTACAATAGTTGGGTTTTTTAATAATTTATTTTAGGATGTTTATTAAATATTCTAAAAATTACAGAGGATTTGTTTTCCTTTTTAAAATTTTCTTGAGATTATTATAAAGCTTTAACCTAGTGATGTATCGAGAGAAAATATTTTAAAATTTGATTTAAAAATATAAAATGTAGAATAATATAACGAAATAATAATAGAAAATTTTCAGCTATTAACTATACATTTTAAAATTAATTTTTTATAACTCCTTTATGAATTTTCATCAAGTTTTTAGGATATAATATATTAAGAATCTAGGACTTTTCCATCAAGTGTCAATGCAGTATAGATATGTTTATAATTTCGCTTTCCCTAGCTTTTTGTAGATTTAAAAACTTTTATAAAAGCTCTACCTTTGCCTTATGCTTACACTCCTTAAAATACAAACACCACCATTTTATTTTCTTGAATACCCCTGACTGTATTCATTCAGAATTCAAATAACACTCCTAGTAAACTAGTGTTGTGGGAATTTAGCCCTTGTTTAGGCCCCCTCCCTCTGTACCTACCATTTTTCTGGTCAGTGTTTTTTGGGGGAGAGGACGTCGTAGCAGAGGTCAAATCGGAATTATTTACGAGCTCCACCTTCGAGGACAAATTGGAGCCGCTTGTTGCAGCCCTGACTGTGCCGCTTTGAGCCTCCCCGCTGGAGGATGTTGCTAGCCGCTCGAGCAGGATCTGCTTTCGGCCGGATGCACTCAGTCCGAGGGCTCTTAGGCGCGTCCTCAGCTCGGTCAGAGTCAGTCGCGTGATATCTGGCATGATGATAGTGGTGGTGGTGATGGTAGCGAGAGCAGGGGTCAGAGAGGCGCGAAAAAAGTAGGTGATGATGTAAAAAAAGGAGATACGAAAAAAAAAAGAAATTAAACAGAATTTTCCATCAAAAGAAAAGGTGCTAGGTGCTTTCCCTTTCTATTTTTGATAATGAATCAAAAAGCAGGCAACACAAAAGAGCAGGGAGCCCAAGGAGCAAGGAGCTCTCCCAAAAAAAGCGCAGTAAAAATGATGGCACGTGCAGTTAACGCCGCAAAAAATGCACATAAAAAGATGAGTCGAAAATGTGTTTAACAAAATATAAAAAAAAATGCGGCAGGAAAAAACAGACGTTTTCGTCAATGGCGAAAAAATGTTGATGGAGCGACGAGGCTCCAAGGCAAAGCAGCGAAAAAAATAAAATAAAAAGAAGACCTCAGGCTTGTCACAACGCTGCTGTTCTTTTTTTTTATCAGTTCCGGAAATGACACGCACACAGAAATGGGAATGGGGGAAAGAGGACGACAGGCAGGACATCAACGAAATGCAGGCACATTAAATTTAATGCCATTGTCATCCTCAAAATTAACACAATGAATGGGGGGCTGTCGTTTGATTGCCCCGCCAAAGGATGAGTGAGATAAGATGGGTTTTAATGTTTCAAAAATGCTAAAAGCCACATTGTGCATATTTTAATCAGACATTTTGTATATTTTACACATTAAAACAAAGAGAAAGGCTTGGAATTTGACGGAGAAGTTGGGTTTAGAATTCTAAAAATGCTAGTAAAAAATATAAGAACATCTTTAATCAGACTGATAATTAAATCTGAAGAGATTGTAATATTGTTAACTAGCTTTTTAAGGATTACAAAGTTAATACCGTATACTGTACTTAATTTTATATACAAAAACTTTGAGAAATATGTCATTATTAAAGCAAAAAACTTAACAAATTAAACCTTAAAAAATATATAATATTTCTATTATTTAATCAAAGGTTAACTTTATGCAATTACCTTTTTAAAAAACACTAAAAACCATGTCTAAATAAAACAAAGTAAGTAAAGAGCTTAAAATGATTAATTATACATCAGAAATAATTTAGTTTTCCTCGGTTTTATGATTTTAATAATTCCCTAAATGCCCTAAAAGCTTTCCCTTAGCTTTTTGATACATATTTTAGCTAGTAAAATTCAAATGAAATATTCAAAAGTATTTCAAAGCCTTGTTTAATGTTTAATCTTACCCTGCTTAACTTTAGATTATGCTCTCCAGCTCATAAAATATATATTTTTTAGCTTAGTTGGCTCTAATAAATAGCATTTCTACTTAATATTTACTGCTGCCAGCTAGTAATGTAATTTTCTCTCACAACCCATCCTTTCCGCCTGATTAATGTGGCCACAGAAAAACTTAATTCCGCGCCATCTAAGCGGATAAAAGCCCTTCATGCTGCTACGCATTATTTAAATTAAGCAAGAACGAATTTTCCAAAGCACAAAAACATGAAATAAAATAAAATGGAAGGGAAAGAGGGAAAAATATGCGTAAGCCGAGGGCAAACAGACATATTCTCTGGCAGCCATAAAGCATCGCCCGCCTTTAAGCTCATAAAATATTTATGAAAATCTTGTAAAATATCCTTGTTTGTTTGTTTATTTGCAATGCCAGCCCGTAAAATCCCTGATGAAATCGATTTCTTTATGTTCTTTTCCCAATGAATGGTGGAAATTTGTTGAATTTTCCGCACAGAGTTTTTGACAACAATTAAGTTTCTTAGAGAGATACACTTTTCAGTCTCTTAAACCCGCCAGGCATCCACTTAATTAATGGAAAAACCGTGGAAAATTCGCAGAGAGTTTTGCGGAAAACTCAACAAGCTTGAGGTGAATAAAAGGGGGGGTAGGGAGGAGGTGTTTTCTGTGTGCATAAAATGGAAAGGAGAGTGGCGCAGAAACCGCAACCTTAACCGCTTTGCGGGCATTGTGTTTTTGCATTGTGCTTAGGCTTTTTAATATTTTAGCTGCACTGAGGGAAATATGTTATAATATTTAAATAATTTAACTAAAAGTACGTTTTAAAAACCCTTTTTTATATTACCAAAGGAAGCTCACTCCTTTCTTTATAGGTTTTTAAAAGGTTGGTAAACATAATTTATCCAAGAACCCTAGTTTTCCTTATAAAGTTTTTGATAATAAACTATTTATTTAAACCAAAAACTCTAAGAAAATCAATTGTTTTCTTTCTATTTTTATTCTCTGTGTGCTTTTACCCCTCTTGTTCGTATTTTATTTTCTTTTTCACCTTGATCTCATTGTGCTGTATGTATGCTCTATGCCATAGGCCAAAGGCAGCTGCGGAGTTTGCACAATAATCGCAAACTGCGGGCCAAGACAAACAGCGGGGCAACAAAAAGGGGGGAGGGGGGAGGGAGAGATGCAAGGATGCAGGAATGCAGGAGGCAGGCAACTTCAATGCAACTTGGTCGAGTGTCTGGCGCAGAAAAGTAGGCAATGCTCTTTGCCTGCTTTTTTCGGGTAAAAGGACATTCGTTGAACAGAGGAGATGCTATAGCATATAGGAAATATTTATGACCAAAAGCACTTCGCCACATACGGCCTTAGGCGGCGAAAAGGCATCTTTTTTTAGAGACCCATTAAAAATTGAAGTGATCTATAAGTGCAGCGTAGGTAGGCTCAACGAGGTCACGGAATTTGGTATGACTTTTTGGTTGTATAGGTAATGCATTTGTCTTGTTTTTGGCTATAACTTAAATATTCTATTTATGAGATTTTAGTATATGAAAGTGGGTGGGGATTATCAAGTAGAACTTTGAGAAGTTAGTAGAGAGATTTCTTGGAAAGCGTATTTTAAAAGGTAAAAAGAATTCGTAGGAAAAGTTTCCTACACAACAATTTTTATGAATAAGGAAAGAACTATGCGATACCTTCTCCAATGTGAAACTGTTATCCCCTAAAGCTCTCTTTTAATATCTTAAAAATTTCTCTGCTTTTCTCTCCTTTAAATATAAACTTTCCTAGAATTTTCCCATTCTCCAAAATCGATTATTTCCTTTATAACTTACTACTTTTTAAAACAATGTATACTCGGATGCAGTCGCTGCCTTTAAGGTGCCTTTCTTTTGTTTAAACCAACTCATCGCTTAGACTTCGACAGGAAATTTCCTCCTTCTGCTGGTCCTCCTCCTTCTCTACCCCTTCCTCCTCTCCCTCATCACCTTGGACGCTGGACGCACTGAGCGGAAATTGTGTTTTTCCCACTACACTGATTGCCTCTGCCCGTGTGTTGGGTGTGTAATTCCTGGGGCCGTTTGGGAAAACAAGACAAGGGAGCCCGCCCGACAAAGCCTCAAACGAACGCTCTGATGAACTCTTTAAGCACTTCATATGGCTACAACAGCGAGGACATCGAGGCCATCGTGGAGTGGTGACAGTTTGAGTGGTGCAAGTGACGTTTGGGAGGCCTCAAGGATGCTCATTAAAGAGATAAAGTCATCTCCATATGCTGGTCCCCTCTTGGCCTCGTGTGTGTCACGAACAAGTTTAATTAATTGCTCAAACTTTACGCCAATTAAATGTCAAGCCGCAGTTTTATTATCTTTCATTTGCAGCCCCAGCATCAGCAGAGAGGAGGAAGTCTTTGAGAGCCACTAAAAATATAGATATATATATCGAAAGTCCGGCACATTTTGCACGTCAAAATAGGCTCCGGACAGAGTCACAGCCTCTGCTATGGCGGAACGATGGGCAACGGTTACTTTCGAACGTCACAAACGTCGTCATCGTCACGGCAGCGGGACAAGCGGTAAGTGCCACTGAGACTTAATACATAAATGCACAGAGAGAAAGGGGGTAATCTTGGAGATATTAAATATTATTAAAATTATAATTACAATTTCTATAATTTTAAAATAGAAAATAAATTCCCTTGACTTTCTAGAATATTATTTTATATCCCTGAAATCTATGTAGCTGCCTTTTAGCACCTCCTCCTTGGTTTATACGACTCCCATTGATCATTGATTAAGAGGGTTTCAAATTTATGTTGACCTTAGATTCACTTGGCCACTTGTCCGTCTATTTATAGTCACAACAAATTCCAATCAAGAGAGAGTTGTGGCACCTTAATTTGGTTTCCCAAAGTGTAAGAGAAGGCAACCGCTCAGGGATTCTGGGTCAAGTCTCTCTCTCTCCTGGGAAAGGGTAGCTAATAAAATATCCTTGCTGGAATATCTGGTAAAGGCAAGGGTTTCCTTGTAAGCCATAAAAGTTTCTGGTGTGTGAGCAAGCGACTCCTCCCCAACCCCTCCTCAAGAATCTGTTTCCCTAATCAGCCCCAAACTGGACATCGATATTTATGTCCTGCGGTTTCAGGGGGGAGACCATCAGCACACACATTGTGCGGTGCTGACAAATGGTCCTTCGCCTAAGACAGAACCGAAGGGTTTAAAAGTCAGCCCGTTGAAGGTTTTGACTTGACTTGGCAAATTTCTCATATAAATTTAGATGTTTAATGAACTGAAGTCTGGCGAAAACTGAGCGAAGAAAGATACTGTAAACAATGGGAAATTGTTTTTTAAAGTGTTGACTGGCTTTCTCGATATTCAAATAAATCTTTTATCAAGTTTAACAACTTTTTGCAATGGCAAAACGTAGGCAAATAAATTTAAAAGTGTTTAAGCCCAAGGAGAACAGTGAAAAACAAAGGCAAATAAATTGGCATGTCTTCTGTTGAGGCTGGAGAATTTTATAATTGAGTTTTGCGACTTTGAAATACCCGGGATTTAATTTTCTAAAAATCTTAAAATAAATATAATGGAAAATATTAAGATCTTAGGATTTTATAACCGGTTTTCCGAACAAAAAAACACCAGATTTAAATTTCTAAAAATCCGACACTACTCTCAGGAGGTTCTGGACGATAAATTAATAGAAAACTTACGTTTTTTACATTAAGATTATACTTAACAATTTTATAGCTAACAAAAGAGTATTATAAACCTCATCTTAATTCTTCTCCTGGCCAAGTTCCCAATATAAATATGTACTTTTTCTATCCAAGACTAATTGGTATGAAAAAAGATTCCCCCAAAAGTTTCAAGAGCTAAGAAGGGCTCTCCCTAAAGAAAAAGGTCAGGAAAATCGTGATGAAACTTTTCGTTAACTGAGAAAATTAATTCCTGTGGATTTCTTTTTCTCATTTTGCAAACATAATTAGTGACAAGCACTGGGTTGGGGGGGGGTTTGACCTTTTCTCTGCCTTCGACGTGTTTTAAATCGAATTGATTTGCAAACGTAATTGGCAAAGCACATAAAAATAGCAGATAAAAAAAATAAAAGTGGGGCATGTCGAACAGAAATGGAACACTTTACATTAATTGGTAAAATGGCAGCAAAGCCAAATTGAGGCCGCAAGTGGACATGGCGAAAAGAACGGCAATTAAAATAGGCAACGCCAATGGCATTGGCGCCTACATGAGACATGGAGAGGATGAAATACTGGACATAGATGATGGTATGGGCGTGGTTCAAAGGATGTGCCAGTAGCAGTCACTAGCAACCAACAGCTGTTGTTGTCGCCGCTCAAATTCCAATCTGCTGCCATCGAAGCGAAGTGCATAACACACAGAGGCTTTGCCAAAGCGAAAAGTATTTTCAATTAGTTGGCCACAACAGGAATTTTCTTTGTCAATCACAAGTTTGTTTAAATTGAAATCTCTGAACAAGTATTGGTTGGGAAATTAAATTACTTTTCAATGCTTGTTTACTTTTATTTTTCAAGAAGCCAGTAAATCTGCAAATACCCATAAATCTCTCTCTTACAATAAAAATGTAAAATTAAATATTACCCAAGAAAAAAAAACCTTTCATAAGCCAAAGAAAATGTTCTTTAAACCAATAAAAAAAAATCCCCACATTTTTTATGGTTACATTTCCCACTCAGAATGTGTCTGCATTTTACATTCTCATTTATCTTTCATGGCCAAAAATACAGTCATCATTTTGGTTAATAGAATTTGGGATGTAAATGTAAGAGTGGCTTTTGAGTAATGACCATATTTCAAACCTTAAAAAAAAAGGATGTTTGACAGATTTAAACAGGGTTGTTAATAGTTGTATAACCTTAACTCTTTTAAATCCCAATTTCCTAACTTTTTAAACCCAATGGGTAACTAGTTTTATTGATAGAAATTCCCAACTATTTTTTTGTGGCAACTATAAAAGTTGGTCTGCTATAAATTTGCACATTTTTAATTGAAAATGTATAAAAACTAACAGCAGCAGCTTTTGTAAAACCAAAACTCCTGTAAAATCCCCCTAAAATTCCCAGTTGATTTAAAGCGCAGAGAAATTTCTATGGAAAAACATTGCCTTTCCACCATACCAAGCCAAAAATTGAATGGTTTTTTCACTCCCTCATGGCCTCGTCTTTGTTTTGTTCCCTGCTGCCCATATTTTTGGGCCTATAATTCGAGGCTGCCTCCCTGGCGTATACGCAACGCAGGGGGTTTTTTCAGACAGTCGCTTAATTTGCATACAGAATGCGTGTTCCGAAGGGCGATAATGTATCGACGACGATAGGCTTTTGGCAACTCCCAGAGACAAGAGGCCAAAAATTGGGATGCCTATCGGAAGTGTGTACATAAAGATGTTAAAGATACATTCAGCGGATTCGTTGACATTTTTTTGTCATGGAATAAACAAATCGATTTATGCATATAGGGGGACTTTTCAGACATACAAAAAAACACAGAGAGAGACATAAACATGGACAGATGGGCGGTCGCAGAACTAGTGTCAAGATGTGGGGCGTGGCAAGGACTTAGCCGTTAACCAGGCTTCTTCTGGAGAACATTGCCAACATTTAGTCACGTTTCGGTGGAACTCTGAATTTTTATTGAAATGGCTATATAAGGGAATGTCTTTCTTTGTGAAGGATGCACTAAGCGGAAATAGGAAAATATTTTAAATTGAGAGAATAATTCTAGAATTTAATAAGTTTAAATTAATTAAAATGTAGTTAAGGGGTTAAATTGCTTAGAAAAAGTATAGAAAATTCTTAAGACTTAAAATAATAAAAGAATTTCAAGGAATTGTTAAATTTAAATTTAGTTCAAGGTTTCGATTCTTAAAAAAAATGTATGAAAAATTCTACAAATTCAAATTTCGCTTTTAAGTTCTTTAAAGCGAATTACCATTACTTCTCTCAATTTTAAAATAATTTTCTCTCAGTGCATGCGGTGACAGATTCGTGTTGGTGTCTTGTGCAAACGTGTACTAAATATGTGTGTATATGTGTGTATATGTGTGCATATGTGTGTGTGTGTGTATTGGTGTCAGCACTACGTGTAAGGCATACTTCTCGTGTATTTTTCTTGTCGGCCTTCCAAGTCCCATTTTTTTTTTGTTTTTTTCGGCTGTCAACTCACCTGTAAATACAAGAGAAAAGAGCGGAGAAAGATCGTTAGAAATGTTGTTAAGCCCCAATAAATTGCTGGGCAAAAGTGAGCAAATTGGATTGACTATCAATTCCAGAGAGAGGGGAATATATGTGTGTGTGTGCGAAATGGCATTGCATACTTCCGGGCCATAAAGTTCTATTTTTTATGGACGTTCGATGTTCATTAAAAAAGTTTCAAGCACATTTTGGCATGCAAAAACCCTAAGCAAAACCAAAACACAACAACAATAACAACAACAACCAGGACAATTGGCAGCTAGAACTTTCACAAAATTTAATTTGAAGGGAGAGCGACAGAGAAGGAGCAAGGATGGCAGCCAGGATATAGCCTCTAACAATTTACCAATTAGAATGTGGAAAAAGTTGGCTCTGTCGGGCCTGAAAAGTACAAAATAATTGCATTTCTTTCTGCCTGCCTGCGGTTTATGACAGCGATGAGGACTTGACTGGCTGTATAATAAATATTTCACACTAAATTGCACATTGTGAATAAAAAGTAACAAGCCCGCGGCAAAAGACGCTTAAATGAAGCGGAACGAGGGGCCACAAATTGCCGCAGCAAAGTGTGCAAATGATGGAGGGCGGAAAACTGTGTAAAAAAAGAAAATAAAGCAAGAGTTGAAGACAATTTCCGCCAAACGAGCAGGGACAAGGCAGCAGAAAATTCCACAGCCTACGTGTGCAAAAAGGCAAAAGGCGTAACGGTAACGAGCCTGTATCGCTTTACCCCCCAACCCCAAAACCAGAACCAGACCCAGCTCGTCCTTAGAACCTTGTCAATGTCTGACGGAGCGTATAAAAATTTGCAGCCTCGTTTCTCTTCCAGCTGCAGGGCTCCTGGCTGCTGCACATCATCTGTCCGATTATCTCGCCCAGATTCTGCATTGCACATGCAATTGATTAATGCCAGGCACAAATTGACAAGCGAACACAGAACACAGGCTCCTGTCTACTGCCAGGGAGGGCTAATGTAATCAGAATAGAGTAGTACCCGGGGGTCCTGACAGAGAGACAAGCTATCAGTGGCGGATTTACAAGGGATTTTGTTATGGTTAGACTCGGTATCTGATGGGATTATCCTATATAATCCTTTGTTTTAACAATTTTATAGAGAACTTTGCTTGCTTTATTGTCTTTCTTCATTTATTTTTCTGTTTTTAATTACTTGTTTTACTACTTGTTTTATATCACTAATTAGGGCATCTAAAAGTATGCTATGAGTTATGGCGAAAGTTTATTTTCTTGCTTCCTGAAAGTACACAAGTTACCAGGGAAGTGCATTCACCAAATGTATTGCATACTTTTAAGCAGCTTTCTAAGACGATTTTAAATCTACACCGTTGAATTACCTTATATCCCACCAAATAAAAAAAAAATACAAATTAAAACGAAGCTTACAATTGAAAAGGCTCTCTAAAATATTATCCCCTCTAATCCGCCCCTGTTTGGAATACATTTACGAGCATCCTTGTATCCTTCCATCACATAACTGACACACGAATAAGTATGCACATGCACAGCTCCCACATTTGCATATATTTTGGCTATACAGACACTCTGGTTTCTATTAGCCTCACTTGTTTGCCTTTTCCCCTGACTTTGAAAACAAATATTTACCACATTTCGAATAGCTTTCGAACAAAAAGTGCCTGTAATGGAACACTTTGTTAACAATTTGTGATTAAAAACTCCAGATCCTGTAATTATAAACTTGCTTTTGCTCTGCTTTTAATCCCCGCAATAAAGTTGTAATATTTTTTTTAGTGCCTTCAGACTTTGTCAAAGCCATCTGGTCCCGGGGAATTGTCTAACAAGATGTCAACTTGCCTTTTTTTTACCATCAGCCAGAGTCAGAGGATAATTCGGAATAAAGAATACACAACTTTTTCCATCCGTCCTGCATGAATATATGCACATGCTGCTGGTTTATGTGTCAAAACACCGTAAACAAGTTTGCAATTTTTCGCAACAGAAAGAAAATACGAGGCAAAAAATGGCTGGAAAAGGATGAACGAGCCAAAGAACAAAAACAAGACACTAAGTTGCTTTTCACAGAGTGTGAGGCTGCATCAGCAGCACAAAATGGGAAAATCTACAAATAGAAAGGCGGAAAGGCATATGTTTTATTTATTGTTTCGCTGCACTTGCTTCATTCTTTTGTTCGGCGTTTGCTTTGGACGCTTTATTGTACTTTATTTTAGCCAAAAACTTTGGCCAACTTTAAGTTAAAGACGCTGGAAAAATACACACACACAAGTTAAGAAAGTCAGACTTGGATCTTGAGATGAGAAACTCATAGAGACAGGCGGCAATTACATCTCTGGGGAAGAGGAGGGAGGGCTTCCACAAAACTTGTGACAAGCGTTCATTTAACAAGTGAGAAAACCCCTCCACCCCCCCAGAGAACTGAGAAATGGAGAAGTGGTGAGAGAGAAGTTTTTCCACCATTCGTTCTAATTTAAAAAAAGAAATTCTCATTTCCATTTCGTTGCATTTTCAATATGCACTTTGAAATATTTGCTCTGCTCTGCTTCACTTCGTTCAGCTTTGCTTTGCTTTGCTCTTATTAAAGAACGGCTTCAAAATGAATAAACTGAGAAAAATTGGAGTACAAAAAGGGGGAAATAATAATAATTTTAAAGAGTTAAAAAATAGAGAAGCTTAATAATAAATAATTGATTATTTATGCATGAGAAACATTAATTATAAATGGTTTTTGTGTAAATTTATATGAAAGAGATTCTATAAATTACCTCGAAACATAATTTAATAACCTGAGAATTTTATTTATATATTTTTCATAACAAAAAATACAATAGAGAAGTTTAATAATAAATAACATTAATTATTTATGTTTATCTTGAAATATAAATTATTCAGAAACGTGAATTATAAATGTTTTTTGTGTAAAGAAATTCTATAAATTAGCTGTAAACATAATTTAATAGCCTACAAATTTTATATATTTTTTTTCCTAACAAGAAATACAACTTTGGAACATTTTTATAACCCAATAAAATTTGTTTCTCGATTACATATTCATAAATATTAATTTAAAAAATTAATTAACCTTTG